ATACAAATTAAAACGTAAACAACATACGCTCACATGCACGACGGTTTAGCAAGAGCAAAGAAGCTCATTGGTCGATTTTCGAAACTCCTCCCTCAGTGGCTCCGCTGATGTGCACTTGTGAAATATGCTGCCCGAGGGGATGAGACCGATGGGCGCAGGCAACGAAGACCATTTTGATTGGTGGTGGTGATGAACCATTTTTAGTTCACCATTTTGGCAGCATCAAAAATTTTATTTTTCAAGCTAAACTAAGAAGATCCTAAAAAAGAAACAAAAAATTCCAGCACGAGGATCTTTAATGCGTCTTCAAGTGAGGGTCTTTTAAGCGCGAGGACTTTTACATTTCTACCTGGGCATTTGGCAGCTTGGCAACGCAAAAGCGTTATCAAGCTCTCATACAAGTGCCACATACATTCTAGATGCGCAACTGTTATGGAATACAGCCATCCATCCGACCATTCGCTGCTGAAAGTGTTCTAGTTGGATACGGGCGCGACACGTGAGAGAAAAGGCCAGAAGACGTCAGATCATGATAATCTACGAGGCCAAGATAACCTACGACCAGAATGTGCTGCTATTTCGAGAACTTTATAACGATTAAACATTAAGAAATAGCTGTGTTTAAATATAAATAACATACTGAGCGTAAATGAACATAAGCTTTCATCTTTTCTGTATGAAGATATATAGTATAACATATTTTTCTGTTGCAATAAATAAAAATTTCGCAACAACAATGTCTTCTTTTTAAACACAACATATCTGTCACACAAACTCTAAGTTACATTTTGCAGCTTAAATAACATAAAACTGAACAGCTGAAATACGTCACCCTTTCCTGGCTCTTTCGTAAGACCATATTATCTGTACAATATGATATATACTGTACAGACCGAGTAATTTTAACATATTTTGCAAGCCTTCACCATATGTCAAACAATTTATCGCAAGCGCAATAAACTAATCACGTGAGTGGGAAAACTATTACCCAATACCTGACAAAGATTAAGACTATAATATTTTATATACCGTTTATTATTTTCAAAAATATTTCAGAATATCATAAATTACTGTAAAACGAAAAAACACCTCGGCTGCGTTCATACGAAGTGCGCGGCGGCCGAGCGGTAAAGACGCTGAACACTGGTAGTTCAGTCCGAGGTTCGAATCTCGCGAACGGGCTGGCTGCATGGGCGTTTTCGTGGTTTTCCCCATGTGTAACGAGCCAATTTCCCTTAAAAGTCCTCCACGAAGGTATTCCTTCCTTTAGGCGGATAGCCCTCGTGTGATTTGCCATAATTGAATAATCAAATGTAATCCATCGAGGTGCGCGGCTCATATACATTTTGTGAATTACTGAATGTAGCATAACTTTAGTGATTATATCCTTTCAAATAGTTTTCGCTGAAGAAAACCTTTTATTGAATGAAAAAGAAAACCTTTTATTAAATGTTATTAAATGAAAAATAAAATCGCAGAAAGTTTTTAATTTTACAATAAAGTTTAATCTTAACGTTGGCCACTAATATAATATCGACAAGACATAAATTCATACCAAAATCTCCGTGTCACGATATCTCATTTCTGAGATGTTTTAATTCCAATTAATATATTTTAGTTCACTTCTCAGACGGTATAGTGGTTAGGCCCCGGGTTCGAATCTTGGAGAAGGCATGGATGTTTGCAAATGTATAGTTTCTTTGCGGCATGAGGGCACTCCAAAATGCATGGCGAGCCGAAACCCACCTCGTGTGGTTTAGTTGTAGGGGAGAGGGGTGGGAGATCCTCGGACTCCTCTTCCCCAGGGCTGCTCTCTCTAAAAATTGAAAAATTGGAGTGGATATAGAAGTCCAACCTCCTTGAGGCTCTGGCAACCATTCTTCTTTGAAACACATTTTAGTTCAACATTTTAGTTCTAGTACAATAAAAGTCTTTTTTATTTCGTCACCAAAAATATAAAAAGCAATAGTTACGTTGTGCGATCTACATTTTTTGCTTGACAAAATATTTTGCTTGATTTTGGACATTAAAATCTATAAGGTCTTCTTTTACATTTCTTTTAAGTTTCAAATTTTCGTACTCGTATTCATGTGTAGGAGTATGAATATGTTTGTCCTGTGGTGGAAGAATTTCACAATCATTAAGATAAATTTTAAAACTTTTTAAAAAATAGTTAGCAATTATTTCTCTAATTACGACAGATAACTATAAAACAAACTGCTTTAGCATGGTCTTAAAAAAAAAAAAATTAAACAAAAGTTGAAGTTAATATCTAAATTCTATCTTATGAATGCACATAGCTCTAATTAAAAATCACATGGAATTTCGATTTGACCTCATGCTGTTGAAATAAGAAAACTCTTTTTGATAGTGAAAAGAAAGTATTCATGTTCAAGCGCATCATATTTGCGAATATGAAAACCTATAATTAGAAAATAAGAATGCAAAGTAAAAAACAAATTGATAATTCGATCTGGAGTGCCGTCTCTAAATATAAAAGATGCTACAGTAATATTCCGCCCTTAAAGTCTCTAACGGGTCACCTACACTGGATTGGAGAAAGCTGAGTTACTCTTTGATAACCCGTCTCAAATTCTGCATAACCAACATCTCTCACTCTCACACAGATCGTCACTTCTGCAACACAATTATTTTCAAAATCAGTCGCAAACAGCATCCCTCGTATTATGCCGTCGAAGGTTACGGATTATATTGAGAATAACCAGAAAGAGTGCTGGAATGGATCACGTTAACATGAAGATGATCAAGGAAATGCGAATTGTTATGTTCCGCAAATTTACAAAACTATTTAATTACATTCTACAACTTCAGCATTTTCCTTCAGGACGATCCGAACATTTTATGCCGAGATATTGCGCGGCAGCCAACGTGTCCTGCTCAATAACAGGAATTTTGCCTATATGGCACATAATGTCAATGCTACATGGCCGTGGTATCCTAATGGAGGACTAAGGGGGTGGAAAGGGGTGTGACCGACGGTAACAAGGCCTGTGAAGCAAATGGAGTCCTAAAATGGAGAAAAATAGTACGAGGTGCGAACCTAATACTGCATGAAATTAGAATACGCAAAATACAATGCCGAGTAAATGATACAAAATAAGTAAATGAAACAAAATAAAATAAAATACTAGTAATGATGCTGAAGCTATATACAGTATGTATACTATACAGCGCAGTATTTAGGTGAGGAAATTAGAGTTTCGTGTGAGGTGAGGGGGCGAATATCGTGGTCTTCTTGTAGAATTTCATAATTAAAAACATTTAAAAGAGCTTAGATGCGGGTATTCACATGCTTTAGCGAAGAATTTTTCGTTCGTAAGCTGCAGGCAGTCATCCATAAACTCAATTTTTAAATCTTTATGCAAGGTTCCTTCAGGATTTAGAAGAGATCCTTATTTATCCCTGATTTTCCGTATGGCTGGAAAACGGCAATCATTTCGCCAATCCTGAAGACCGGCGAAGACCCACGTGATCCTACATCATACCGACCAATCAGTTTTCTCTCTGCTCTCAGTAAAATATCTGAGGCAGCCATTTTGAAAAGAATTAACCAATACCTCGAAGATAAAAATATCCTAATACAACTGATACTAATGGCTGGCGAAAACACCAGCCATCAGCTTCACAGAGTCACGGAATTCATCTCGGAAAGCCTACACAATTGACCTAAATACAAGAATACTTTTTCACGATATTTCTGAAGCCTTCAATCGCGTATGGCCGTACGAACTACTTTACAAATTAATCGTTCTGGGTTTCCTGGACTACACAAGACAAACAATTAATTCCTTCCTTAAGACTCTAAGTTTCTGTCTGAAAAAAAAAAAAAAAAAAAAAAAAAAAAAAAAGAATGCTCACTTGCACTGTAGTTTCAAATTTGTGTAGCGTAGAAACGATTTTGTCTGAATGTCCAGCATGAGAAATAAAAGGTCTTATTTATATTCATATCCAATCACATTATAAAAATGAGAAATTTTCATTAATTTACTTCAAACATTTCGTAATAACCTGTTTCATTACTTATAAAACGATGCAAATAAGAAATTGTGATTCTGAAAACAATTAGCTACGGCCCTCAAAGTTTTCTGAATTCTAAAATGTGACTCCTATAATACAATCTTAAAGTTTGGCCCCACCTGACGTATTGAAAAAATTTACATTATTTTACTTTATGAATGAATGAAAAAACTCGTTTGAAAGATTGGCAAATTATTTTATTCGAAGCAAAGCACTCTAAGGCTATCTGCCTATTCATGGAACCCTAACCTTGTTCAACCATAGGAAATAGGATGTTAGCGTTTCGCGACTTCTGCCACATCGCCATTAGTTAGTTTTAGCTGAAAGAGAATAAAGACATTTGCTTGTCTATATTTCATTGTTATTTAAATGTATGTATACATATTGAGGATGCAGCAAGAGGATAGTTTTAATCGTCTTTCTGAATTTTTTGAAATTCATATTACCGTTCTTCTGCATTCATTTGTGTTCTGCATATAAAACAAAAAAACTTTGCTCTAATCGGAAATTTTAAAGCGAAACATTATTTGGAAATCATCATTATATAAACCATCAAAATATATTATGTAAGTCATAAAAAGTCTTTAAACCTTTAAAACAGAATATCTGAATGCCTCTAAAAATGGTAATTTTATACTGAAAGGAAAAACAAATATCTTAACATTCATTAGAAATAAGTCTTTATATTTGCAGAAAAATTTAAAGAATAATTTATGCACAGATAAATTCTGAGAATATATATAACAATCCTTCAGGATTTCAGAATTTGAGATAAGATTAAAATTTTTTTATTAGAAAAAGTCATTAAGAGTGTACAATAGAAGGAAAATGATTTAACTTGGCATTTTCGCAAAAGCTTCCGACATATATTTATATGCAAATCTGCGTTACTGCTGGAACGCATTTATCCAACTACACATCACTGTACTATTTAAATACGCGTATTGCCATGTGCAACGTTAGTATGATGTATGTTATTTTCAGTTAAACCGGAACCATTCGTAAGGCTTCAGAAGACCTTCCCCCCCCCCATCTCTTCGTTGTTTATAATGGAGCGGCAACTAAATGATAGACAGCTTACTTTTAAAGGTAGGTTTGAACTTATGAGGAAATATTGAGTTTTATGGTACTGAGTATGATAATGTTTAATTCTAAGTAGCTACTAAAAGCGTTAAATTCGGAATGTATCGAAGTATAAAAAAGGAATATACGCCAAATTAACTCTTTCCTTCAAACGGTGGTTTCAAAGATTGACTTAGTTTTCGTAGCTTCTGCGATAGAAGCCAATCATTAGTGGGGTGAAAGTCTTGGCTTTTATGTGCCATTTTAGGAAAAAGATACGTAATCTTAAATGCGGTAAGTAATGAAACGTTTGTTGTGATAAAACGAATTTTGCGCGAAACTAAAGCAATGCGTATAACTTACTGGTATTGTGTACCTTATTATACCTAAAAGCTCTGGTATCTCTTAATGCAGTAATGCATTAAAGAAATTTTGGTGGTTGTTGGTGTGTTTGTTTTATTTTTCTCTCTAATCATGTAAAAGGAACCTCGAACATGCTAGGTAAAGTTAAATAAGTGTTTCGTACTAACTTTACAGCTGAACGGTTCTGATAAGTTGCCGAAACTATGGATGTTTTAATATTAACCTTGAATTTGACTAAGCCTTTTTATCCATATCTTTCCATCAGGCTCAACAGCGGCCGACAAGTAAAGTCTCTGATCTCTGGTAGTTCGAGCTAGGTTCGTTTGCAGGCGAACGGGCTGACTGCTTGGGTGTTTATGTGGTTCTCCCCCCCCCCGAGGTGGATATGAGCCAATCCCTTTCGTTAGGCAGATGGACTTCACGTGCTTTGCCGTAATCGAATAAACAAACCTTCCATCCTCCAAAGCCCAGTGAAGGTGGAGGTTTTAAGACTACTGAATACGGGAAGTTTATCACCAGGTTTTCTCCTAGGATGAAATAAATTTAAGATATTCTCGTGGTCTTTACCATATGTAATGTATACTGTCTATTTGGCCTTGGATTTTCATGAAGATATTCCTTTAAATCCTTTCGTGATCATGGAAATAGAAGTCTTTACGGCCCTAATTTGACCGAGTGGTACTTTCCATTATCCGTTTATTTTCAGAATGGTGTCCGATAGTTCATTTAATCGCTTAGTCTTCGCTGTGCTGCTTTTGATTCATTTTCATTACAGCTTTCCGAAAGAGTCTCTCCTCAGTTACCTTTTTTATTTTTAACTTTTATATTCCAACTTAAGGAACACTAAACCTAAGCAATTTGAAATAGATCTAAAATTAAAGACCTACTAGACGTAACTAACCAATGTGGCTCACTTAATCTTCGTACATCACACTCTTGCTCATTACTTCACTTTTAACTACCATATTCCACAGAAAGAATAGATTTTACTCGTATAAAGAACTTCTTATGCACTAGTTAACTACACAGTGTAATTTCGTGTAGTTAGTGAAACCGTCGCTATCTAGTATATTTTTAATGGATGCTGTACATAACCAACGGTATTTGCAAAAAAATTAAAAATGATCTTTGTGTGCTTTGCAGTAATTAACAAGCCGTGCAAATTTTTCAAGGTTTTTTTTAACTCTTTCAGGAACTTCGCCGACTGGCTAAAGCGGGGAGTAAGTACTTCATATTGAATTCTGAGCAAACTGTTGACTTCATGAGGTTTTTGTGATTAATGTAAACTTCAGCGTAAGTACCGACCAGTTTCCGTAAGCAGACAGCCCTCCTATGGTTACCATAGCTAAATGGTCAGATCTTTTAATTATACTTTAACCAAATGCTGGACATTATTCAGCTTTCACTTCGCCATCCCACATGGCATATCTCCTAGACTTCTTACTTGTTGCTCCTCTTAATACATGTATTGTATAAAACAACCAAGCGTAACATACTTGGGCAGTTTGATTACTGAAAACCTGTAGGTAGTACTCCATTTTAAGGCCAGACTAATCTACACCATTCTAGTAAATTAAAATCTCATTTCGTCTACAGTAGAATTAGGTAAAATTTTGTCCTGCTTTTTACTAGATTAGATGGTTATAATGAACCCTATCATTTGGGGAAGGGAGAAGGACCGTCGCCACTGTCGGTTTAAAGAACACGTACTGTAGGCTATGCTTAGAGGTCACCAAATTTTGAATTTAGAATCTTGCCAAATAACTTTAGTACAGATTTTTATAGCTTTCCTCCCCTTTTTAGCTCTGAACTAAATAAGAATGCTTCCTGGTGCTATCACTGTTATCGTTTCAATCGCTGCAACACCGGAGTACCCGGCCATCGGAAAAATTGGTCTTCCGAGGACGGTAGGTCGTCCCTCTTCACGAACTTAATCCAGTGTAAGAAAACCTTGTAAGTTCTTCAAATCAGCTAAGTGATATAGTAATGCAAAAAATGCACCCGAAGCCGTGAAAAAGCTGTCGAGTTGGTTGGTAAGGTGGGGGGAGACAAATTGCAAGCAATACAACACTGCAAAGAAAATACAAATTCAGTTGGGCAAAATGAAAACTAAGAAATCTGAAAGTTTTCAAATTTTATATTACGCCCAAAGGGGCTTTATTTTTAACGTTTTGTGTTACCTTTATTAAATAAATACTATGTTCTTCGCACTTAAACCATTAAATTCAATATCACGCAAAAAAATTCTTCACAAAATAATTTTAAAAGAGCATATCTTTAGAATTTCCGATACAGTTTCGCGCGCTGGAGATAAAATTTTTTTCTGCAGTGTTTCCATTGTTCGCTGTGATATCGTTGAGTTTTTTAAACTTGTAAATGCTTTACAAAATATGAAATAATAAAACTAATTCCAAATTTGGGCTTCCAGATTCCCATATTCGGGTGGAGACTTACGTTATTCAAAACTTAATGGCTCTATGTACCATTGGTTTATCGCAATGCGAGAAACGTGCATACATTTATGCATGTTCTCCATGTAATTTCCTTAAATACATTGACAGGTTTTGTGCCAAATTACAATAATCCAATCCAAATCCTTAAATACTATACAGGACGATAATATTTAGTAGTTGAACAATATTTGAAAAGTAAAACGCCAGGAAATGCCAAAACGAAATTAATAGCCCTCTGGGCTAATTTCATTTCACAAATCTCCATAAAATAGTTTCTCAGATGTGTTGAAAATGACTAAGAGTTTTTCGATTAATGTCGCGGCGCTTCTAACATGTCTATGCGACCTGCAATTGTTTTGGTCTCCTTAGGGAATATTCAGTAAAAACGCAGATCTTTTTTGTTATTAAAATGCTCAGAAGGTGCTGCCAGTTACTTTAGGATGTTTGCTTCTTTCGTCTGAATAGAATTAGCTGATTTTTTTTCTAGATTTGCACGTTTAGTAGCTTTAATATTTTCAGTAAAGCTTCCGAAGAATGTAACAGTATTTTATAAATTTCAACGAGGGTGAATGCGTTTGCCTAAGTCTGTGATACTTTTTCTTGCCAATTACAACTTCACCACGTGGCTGTGGTACAACTGCATTAAAATCGCCATTACCTTCTGCCTGGCTTATGAAAGTATCCTGGAACATAGTCATAGGGTTGCAATTTTCTATGAATATACAGAGCGCAAAGAACATTAGAAGTTCCTCGTTTTCTTGTTGGTCTCGAAGTTCCCGGCCCATGCAATTTAATTGCACATTCTTGTTACAACAGAATCTATGAAGAAACTTCTCGCTCACTTGCCGTCCTCTGTTCCCCTACTAGTGGGCTTTCCGTGCATAACGTATTGTAATTTGTCTTATCGTGGTAGTTAACATGTTCATTCCTGTAACCCAAAAAACGACGGCGAAGCCGATAACTTGGGCGATTCAGTAAAATATGTTGGTAGTTCACCTATAATATGCTAACACTCGAATATTTTGTTTCGCTAAAGAAGAAACGAAGCAGGAGGCGAGAAACAAACTTCTTTATCGTCCAGAACTTTGGCGAACATTACAGCTTTGCTGTCCTTTTGCAAATTAAACTAGTTTAGTTAAAATGAATGCATTATCTTGTTAATAAAGAAATCTCATTCCGAGAGATTCTTAGTTTTAACATTTAAAAAATTATTAAACTTGGAAATCAAAGATGCAATATTTTCTTATGCTGTTTATTTCAAGTAATCTGTGTTTTCTAAAGTTACTGGAATATCATAGCAATTTGGGTATTTAACAATATTTAAAGAATCTATAACTAGACACATTCGAAACGACAGAACCTCTAATATTAAATTATTTAGCTCTTGTATATTTTACCAGAGATAATGCTTTTTCTCTCCCTTTCACAGGCTTCTTAAAGCATGAAAATCTTGTCTCAAAGGAAGTGCGACTTCAACCACGGAAGAAATGAGTGCTTGAACATTTAGCTTTTCTAATACTTTGATACTTTTCCTGGCATTCAGTAGGATAATTGGTTCCTGCTCTTACCAGTATCCTCAGAGAATCCCGACTAGGTCTGACATATGATAAAGTCCGAAGATTGAGTTCTCCATAAGAGGTAGAATTGAAGAGAACTGTTAAAAGATCGCACAGTGACTATATACCAAGCCGCCTACACAGGAAAGTTGTTAGCGACTCCGACTGCTGTACTGAAGAGCCCGGTTTCAAATGCTGGAGAAGGCATGGATGTAAATTCTCTCCCTTCATAGGACGTAACTGTGGCCCACCTATTAGGTGCCTCCATAATAAAGCGACCACCGCTTCCGACCTTGCTAGTGGTCAAGCCCTATAACAGCTAATACCCGCCATTGGAAATAAGTGTATCAAGCTTCTACGTTTTAAAATAGATCCAGATCTCTGATCGCTTCTATTTTTAAATTCCACTGGATGTGGATTTTCAAAAAGACTTAATTCATTGCCCAAAGCACAGGAAGTCTGCCTAATCGGGAGGATGTCCGAGCGAGACTTTCACCAAAATTTCTATGTATGTAGCCCCTTCGTCGGAATTCGTACTTTGGTCAACTTAGCAGTGTTTAGGTATTTGAATGCTGATGTACCATTTATTCGTCTTCCGGGTTGATAGACTTAACCCATTATGCCACAGCAAGTGAAATGTTGGTCTACTTAAGCCCATATCGCACATGCGTTTGTTTCATACGAACAACTGTTTCGGACAATTTTTCTCCATGGTTGACTATTGAAAGAAAGACGCGCGATATTTCTCCTTCCTTTCGCAGAAAAATTCAAGAAACGAAGAAAGTTGTTAGTTTTCAACAAATCGGCTATCAGCTTGTTAGTAATGGAGAACCAGTTTCCCCTTTACATGTTGACCCCCAAAGTGATCTGTGGTGATTGGCTGTTGTGACAAAACAGAAATTGTTCCAAACAGTTGTTCTTCCGAAACAAACTGATAACGGCCTTGTAGAGTGATCCTTCAGGAAGGATTTTCTACGAGAAAATGGATATTTTGAAGTATTCAAGAATTCCCTTTTAAGTAGACTGTATAGATGACTGTTCTACCAAGCTTTGTTTTATCGCGTCTCTCGGAAGACTTAAATTCTTATGATGTTATGTGCACGTAACTGATGTTTCATACGAAGATTTACTTGAATAAGCTTTTATTGCGGAAAAGTCTTAAATGAAATTCAAAGTAAAATTTTTATAGGAATTAAATTCTGTTACATAAATGGTATTGAAAACCTCGATAATGAGTCTTATTTCTCATGACGCACGCATTCACTTTCGGACATTTGAGGGAAAATTTCAAGTATTTGGTTTTAAAATGACTACCAAAGCATAATTTAGAAACGCCTTTACTGAAAGTTCGAAATTTCAAGACGTTTCTTCAAAGAATTATGCAACAGTCGACACTTCAATGTGACTTTTAATATTTATATGGAAAATGGACTGAATCGAAGACCTGCAGCTGTAACTTTTATTACTTTCAGCTATCTTAGAAAATCCGTAAGTACTTTTGAGCAAAAATTTCAAGTTTGTTTACAAGTAAAACTTTAAATTCGGAAAATAAAATCCTTATTCCAATTTAAATTTTAATCTCGGTAATTATCAAGTCGTAAGTATTGAATAACATCAGTCTCCCATTTAGCATAAATTTGTAACAAGTCGGAAATACAACAGCTTCGAAATTTTAACCACAAATAATTACTCCTCCTCATCAAAAATGAATTACTCATGGAGACAAATATATGTAAACACAATTTGATATGGAACGAAGACTATTTTACTCCTCGGGCGAAAAGAGACCTTGGTGTTTTTAATACAATATTAGAGCCATGCAATTGATTATTTAAATTGGTCATCGACATATTAGACACCTATTTTAAGTCTGCCATACAAGAACGCCCTTAATGAAACACTGTAATATTCTTATGCTAGTTGAAATTTACTTTATAAAATCGTATGTCGCACAACACTTTTGGTTCGGAAGTTGCTTCTATATGTCCGTACTCATTACATGGCTAAAATGTCGATTATTTTAAAGATTTAAAAAAATACTGCTTAAATTATCAAACTTGTTTGACAAATGGGCAGAATCTGAGCAGCATGAGGCATGCCAATAAAAACCGTAATCTTTATTCTGCTTGTATTGATTTGATGACTGGTTAACTGCGCTAAATACTGTTAGTTCGACTTGTATTGTGTTCGAGTACAGGTGAATAGTCTGACTGCATTGTTGGTTTTCGGAGCTTTTCCTCCTATGTATGTAACGTGACTACGAGCCAATTTCTCTTTAAAAGTATTCTACGAATTCATACCCCTCTCAGGCAGTTAGTCCTAGCGCTATAAGCAACCTAGTTTACTTCTGCCATATAGGAGGACTTCAATAGAATGCGTTAAATTACTGATATCGATATCAGCATTCGTAAAATCAGCAACATAATAAAGCTGCGTTTCCGCAGAACGTGGTATAGTTTCAGTTAAAAGAAAGACTTAGCATACTAAACTTCCATACTTCTCAGTGTTATAGTTAATATATGCAGGAACTTTATGATTTTGCAAACACTTCAGATAGGACTGCTCGCCGATCATCTCCTGATTTCTCAACATTGGTAATTTGGTTCATGTTAAATTTTCGATGAATGTCTTGTGGTGGAAATGCAAGTAAGGGTTTTCAGAAGAATACCAACATGTAACACTCATCCAACAGACATCTTTCTTAACGGAATACGGCACAATACACTGGGTCTGTTTACCTAAAGGAAGGGCAGGCTTTTGAAGACAAATTAACTCGTATTCATGTTGCAGACTGAAAGAAAATATTCACGAAGTCTGTTAGTTCGCCAAGATTGAAAGGTGGACAGAACTTCGTGTTAAGCTGTCTTATTCACTTGGTGACTGGTGGACCATTTGGACAACTAACTTCGTAATAATCGTTTTGGTAATCAGCAGAGATGCCATAAAGTCAGAAATGACAGAATTTAAAGGGGAGAGCTTCTATATTTCGAGAAGCAAGAAAACAACACTCTGAAACCTAAAATAAAGCAAAAATGAGCCTTCTACTAGCATTAATTTTGTAGAATGTTCGAGTAATCGAACCCGCTTATCACTGAAAATGACTTCTCATGATAGTCCAGGAGCGGACATGATGCTAAACGGGTAAGGTAATCGGTAAATTAAAATTTTTTTTCACTTGTAACAAATTTCAAGTTAATTTTGGTATGAAAACGCAATTATTGTGGATATAATAAGACTCCTTTTAGATTTTATCACAAGTACTTAAACGAAGTTTGCTTAACACATAGTTATCTTTCCCAACGCCCGACGTTTAATTTCTTAATTTTTAGAAAGGCATTAAGAGTTATTTGAAGAAGCAATGCTTTTTCTCAGGAGATTCGCAGTTACATAACGTACCACTTCTGTTGCCCGTGCTGTTTGTTACGATAATGTCAGATGTCCGGCATACTGTTTCCCCAAATGAAAGTACTAATACATCGAACTAAAACTACCGTTTTATTCGCTGGAACTCTGAAAAATCACTCGTTGGACGTTAGCAGTCAAACAAGGTGTTGGGCATTAAATTTGCTTCGAAATTAAGTTCCCATAAAATTTAGCTGAGATGTTCCAAGCTAAATAAATTTTCTTTCTGAATTTAGTCTCCAGAAAAAGAGTATATTCAGAAAATTCTTAAAACTGTAATCAATTATTCTGCCAAATTAGTTGCAATAGAGACCAGAATAAAATATACCAAGAAAATTACAGACTTCTCTGGTATAAAATAGGGAAGTTACTTATTTTTTTAATAAATAGCCGAATTTTTAATAAATTTTAGCTATTTAAATTTCACTTTGATTCACTGGCCTAATGAATGCGATCCCTAAATATGGATAAAACCCGAGATGAAAACACAAAGAAAAGGCTGGCTGCAGGCGCATTTTCCTGCTTATGTATGTGAACACTAGCTAGTTTTTATTAGAAGGCCCTCCACGAAAGCACATATTCTTAATATGCTTTGATGTAACTAAATAATCAAGTGAAGTCCAAGTCTCTAAATCATTGTATTACACAATGCTCGATTGGAATTGAAAGAATAACAATTGACTATGCTAAAATCTTGAAATTATTACGCATACTTTAAAACAATTTTTATATAGTTCCTAATTCATATAAATTTGAAGAAACTTGAAAATCTGATCAATTGAACTTGAGTTCAACAGATAAATTTCTCAGGAAGGGTCTCTTGACCTTTTAGTTCAAACAATTCCTAAAGATTTAGATTTCGAGAAATGGATACAATCCCTGCAGTATCGTGGGTATAAACTTCTATAGCACAGTTCGCTACTTGGTTTTAAAATAAATCTCTCAGGTTGAAGTAATTGCCATAACGGAATTTGGAGTGGGGGGGAAAAAAGTCTCATAAGTACGTCGAGCGCTAAAGCTGCTGAACGCTGATAGTTCGGACCGAGTTTCGAAGCCCGCGAAAGGGCTGGCTGCATGGGTGTTTTCTTGGATTTCCCCATGTGTAACGTGTATATGAGCCAGTTTCCCTTTAAAAGTCCTCCACGAAGGCATACCTTCCCTTAAGCAGATAACCCTCAAGGCTTTGTCGTAATCATATAAATCAAACCAAACGCATAAATATGTGCTTTGTGTCCCTCTCAAGCTGCATTTACATGCTTACACGGCTTTTTTTCTCTTCCAAGTGCAGCATAGAGCTAAAAGCAGGGTAAACGCGTGTGCTAATGGGGTTGTCAAATCTAGCGCAGTCCGACGCTAGAAGAAACTTCCCCGAGAAAACGGCATCCTCCTTGTCTTACCACGGAGGGTTTCCAGCATAAAGGGCCAGCCAGCGGCTGAGCGGTAAAAACGCTGAACACTAGTAGTTCGGTTCGAGGTTCGAATTCCGCGAACGGGCTTGCCGCATGGTCGTTTTCGTGGTTTTCCTCATATGTAACGTGTATACGAGCCAGTTTCCCTTAGAAAGTCCTCCACGAAGGCATTCCTCCCTTTAGGCAGATAGCCCTCGTGTGCTTTGCCATAATTAAAAATAATCCAATCCCAGAATAAAGTCTCGCCGGAACCAAAGTCTTGGCTATATACGTGCGGGATATTTTGCAAGTAATACGAGAAGGTTTTGCTTGAAGATGTTCCCCTCTTAGCTCCCCCCCCGCCGACATAGGTTTTTGGGTTTTTGTCTTTCGTAGATTTTCGCATGAAGTCAACCAATCTGGTATCCCGACTACGAAAATTGCCGGAAATGTTTCTTTCGACGTGCTGTTGAGGATGGGTAGTAGATGTGATATTGGTTTTACTGTTTGTTTGCCACAAGAAAACTTTCCGAAAGAAAGTATACAGCTGTTTGTAGCCGTAGAAATGATAAGCCATTTTTCGTAAGAGTATCTGTAAGAAATGCACTTAAATTTGCCTTAATTCATTTAATGATGATTTGGAGATATGCGTTTTTAAAAAATTTTTGCTAGATGTAAAACGCTAGTTATAATACTGTTTTGTCCTTCCCGCGTCAACATTCGCCAAAAAGAAAGAAACATTAAAACTGCCATCGACTAATCTCTATTTGAAATGCCTAACATTTAGCGGTGTTTATTGCCAGCCTACGGTTAGACGTATCGGCAAGAGGAGATACGAATTTTCATGAGAGATAGACATTGAGTAGGTTTTTTTTTCACAGCTGCACCTGAGCTGTATTAAGTTCAGATGCAGCTTGGAAGAAGGAAAAGTTGTAGTACTAGGGAAAAAACGCATGACAGACATGCCTCCATTTACTCCATGCGTAATAAAAGTAGTAATCAATGTTGTCTCGCCCCCTAATTTTTCTCTTCTATGAAACAACTGGATGAAAATTTCATTTAAACCAATGGTTCTCAACCTTTTTTGCCCCATGCACCCCTTTCACAATTGCGAGACGATATTGCTTTCCTCCACGCATTCCCAAAGTCGAAAATATACATATACATTTATTTTGTTTATGAAAATTTTTAATGTGCTTTACAAATTAAAGAAGAAAAAATATAGACAATGTTGATAAATATCAAAATTGAATAAATGAAATTTTTTATTTTCAGAAACTAAAACTGAATCAACACTTAACAAGTAAATGAAAGGCTGAACGCATTACCGCCCTGAAACTATGAAATTCCCCATGTTTATAACCCCCGATTTAAACACAAAGAAACTACCACAGTAATAACGTACATGTATACACGCAAGGCAATGACACATACTTAAATGTGGTGAAAATTATTTTACAGCACTTCAGCTGGCTTTTAAGCTCTTATACAAAAAATGCCAAAGCTGTTTACCGGGCTTATTTGTCTTCAGGCTCCGCTACCCTGCACTCCAGATGGAGCCACTTTATGAAGCGCTATTCCTGCTACGTTTCAATTGTTAATTCGGTGGTCAAGGCTCTTTAGCGCAGTTGGAAATATGGCGTCGACGGTGAGGGATAGTGTAATGCACTGGAAAAAGAAATTGGAACGTTATAGTACCGATGAGAATATTGTAAGTCTTTTTTTTTAATCTTATTTATGTGTTTTATGTGTAGATAATTCATATGAGTAAATCCTGTCGCATATATAGGTAATTTAATAGTCTAAAAAGTATCTGGAGCACAACATTCTGGAGAGTAGCAGTAGTATTTCACGCTATGGCATTTTCATTAAACATCCGCAATAAATACTAGATAGTATCGCTGATACGTAATCATGTTTTTCGGTTTGAAAATTCGTTGCTGTTTTGCAAAATTAAATTTTGCAATCTATCACGTAATTTCTTTGATAGATCGAGGAACAAACATAAGGTTCTATACATGGAAGTTAATTTGTGTAGAGTTCGTTTTAGCTTTATAGATGTAGTTGGTTATATTTTTGTGAGTTATTTCTAACACATCGTAATAATGATGACTTGTAAATGATTGCGATTTTGTTATAAATTAAAAAACTGCAGATGTGTAATCGCTTAATTAATTTTATTAATGATAAAACGTATTTCTTTGAAGTATTAGATTTTTTTATTATCGTTGAATAACAATTTGATATATGCTAATTTTTAACTAATAGTTATTGATGGTTTAAAAATTTTGATTTTGAAACTAGTGCGTTTGATCGCATACATTTAGTCTGAATATTGTATTTGTGATGTACATATGGATATTTTGTTAATTGCCGGTACCTAAGCGATTTAATGGTTAAGCGAGTAAATTGCCTATGAAAATATGACGGAAAAAAGGAGGGGAGAAATTATTAAAATATATTTTATAGGCTGATATAATTTTTTTCAAGACAGATTGGAAACAATTAAAGAATAATTATATTGTTACTCCTGTAATTAGTAGTATTTGCTATGTGGACTCATAATGAGCATAATCTTTATTTGCCGAATAAATATACAAGTAATATTTATCCTTGTTTTAATGAAGCATAATTTAAAGGAGAAGTAAGAAATTATCTTTAAAACAACCATATGATAATGATTTAAGTGCTAATAAAGAAATGTTAATTTAATAACTTCAGTATTGCTCAAAAGTACAATAGTGTTAAAACTGTAGAATTCCTAACGTTAAACAACATAATTTGAAAATGCATATTAATTAGCATATCAGAGTTTGAAATGGCTTATTTTATTCAGTTCAATAAAATGTTTCAGTGGGGAGGATTAAGGAAAGCATTTGGTTTTGCTAATAAAGGGTAAAATACAACAAATAATTTAATATTCTTTTTAAATATTAGTTATAATAGTGTATCTTATTGTCTCTGTTAAAAACAATACTAGATAGGAATTAGTATGAAAAAATAATTATATTGTATAGCAAATGTGCTAAAAATGCAGAAATAGAAATATACCTTAGCAAATGTCATATAGGATTGCAAATGGACTGTGTTAATCACAAGAGCAAAATCCTGATTCTGAAATTATATATAACTGTTATTACCACTCTGAGTTAATCAAACAGAAAACTAAAATTAGTAATATGGCAAATTTGGATCAAGTCTTATATATATATATATATATATATATATACAGCTTTTGTCCAGAATAAATTAGATTGGTGAAGAATCATAGATGTAGTCGTAGCTTAAATTATCAGACGATAAGTTTAAAAAACAGGATCCATTTATTGTTATTCAGGAGAAATAGCAGTTACAAAAATTAAGATATCCGGAGTAAATAAAAAGAATTACTAATAACTTTTTGTATGAAGTTTACTACATTGTTACATTAAAGAAAAGCCCCCGATATTCTTTTTATAGCCTCTGGAAAGGCGGAGCTTCAAAGAAATGAAGTCAGCCTCGTCAGCCAATCCAGTTCGCTTTAAATATTTCCAGAACATTCTATAACTGTACGTGTAGAAAAAGGCAGGAATAAAAACTTGACTACGGGCTGTGGATTTAATACCACATACTTTCAAATAAGAGAACATCGCCATTAAAAATGAGAAGAACATACAGTTAGAATTTTAAGTGTATTCTTGACTATGGAATTTTATTATTACAAAGATTATTAGTTAAAGAAAGATTAAGATAAAGAAAGATGATTAGTTCCTCTAATGAGTTGTAACTGAAATATTCCAAAAATCTAAAATTACCAATTTAAAAATTCTCTTAGTTAAATTTTTCTAAAATTTGATTTACACGAGGCCTACCTCAAATAATTTAGCTTTATTATATTCTCTATAGAAATTGTGCTTTAGAGATTTATTTTAATTGACTTTGATTACTCTAGAAATTTTATATTGCGAATTTTTCACACATTTCATGTACATGTTAATTAAAAATAACATATACTTGTTTTTATAATACTTACATTGAGGTAAGCATAATATACTACATAAATAATTCTGTTAAGCATAATCGTATTTCTTTAAAAACTGCTGTGCAATCTATGTGTGGTAACATGGCACAGTTTCATCTGGTATGCATGCATGTGAGTATAATTAAATGGAAGAGGTACCAAATATTTAATCAGTGTAACCATTTCTTGACTACTTTAGGAACATCAACTATCAGAATCTGTATTGAGGCACGTGAGAGAATTTAAATATATTTTGGGACTTTGATTTTTGAAATATAACTGAAAATGCTGTTTATTCTGAAGTTAATAATGCTGTTAATTCTAAAGTAATGTTAAGCTGTTTATTCCATGTATAAGCATACATGGAATTATAGTATGTCTCAGGTTGGTGAATTATGCTAAACATATATCATCATATAATTTTTAAAGAAGACCAGAATTTTTGTTTTTGCTCTAATGATCAAGAATTTAAAAGTAAAGTTTTGGAACAGTTAATATTTATTGGTCATTATCCTCCTCTAAATTATTACCCAAGAAATAAAAAAATCTCAAATTTATTTTGCAAGCTGGGAATGATGTGATTCGTAAAGTGAGATATGTGTCGGATGTTCATCTCGCATGATAGTAATGAACTTCCTTTGCATCAGATGTTTTATGTGGTCTAATGTCACATGCAACATTATTTTTTTTTTTT